TGTGAAAAGAACTTTTGAGTCGGCTCAAAAGGCTTGGCAGCCCCATCCCGCCCGACCAGCTGCAGCAGATCATGGAGGCCGTGAGTGCCCCCTTGGCTCTTAGTCTGCATATGCGTGTTGAGTCATGAGACGAGACGTCTCAGGGCATGCGCCGCCTTGGCAGCCCCATCCCGCCCGACCAGCTGCAGCAGATCATGGAGGCCGTGAGTGCCCCCTTGGCTCTTAGTCTGCATATGCGTGTTGAGTCATGAGACGAGACGTCTCAGGGCATGCGCCGCCTTGGCAGCCCCATCCCGCCCGACCAGCTGCAGCAGATCATGGAGGCGGTGAGTGCCGTGACACGTGTCAGAAACACAGTGACTTGTGGTGAGACATGCCATGTTGGTATGAAGAGGATGGGCACCCCACCCCACCCCATCCCGCCCGACCAGCTGCAGCAGATCATGGAGGCACTAAGTGATTTCAGATTTACCTTGAGAATTCCCAAAAGTTTCTCAAAAGTGCCGGTCAGTGCTTTCAGATGTGCAAAAAATCGATATTCTGACCCTTTCATCCGCCCGACCAGCTGCAGCGTTGGTTTTGTGTGGATGTGAAGGAAATCCTCAGTACTGGTGCCTTAAATTCGTCCTTTCGAAAACAAGGCCGTTTCAGGTTTGTTGTTTCGCAACAAACTTTCTCGTGTGCGCTCAATCCCCTCCCTCTTGCCCCAACCCTTCCTCCCCCGGTCCCTTCATCATCCCCTCTCCCCGTCGAGAAGGAGGAGCACATCCCATCACACCCTCTCTCATACCACTTAAACCTTGTTATTGCCCCCCCTTGCCCCCGTCCCGCATCCCCCACCTCCGCTTCCCCCGTCCCTTTTCCCCTCTTCCCCCTGTCCCTTCTTCCCCGTCCCCGTGCCCCCGCTCCCCCCCCCCCCTTCCCTTTGATCTATTGACAGGCGGACGTGGACAACAGTGGCACCATCGACTACACGGAGTTCATCACAGCAACGATGCAGATGAACAGCGTCGAGAAGGAGGAGCACATCCTGGCCGCGTTCAAGCACTTCGACAAGGACGGCAGCGGGTGAGAAGAGGGAAGGGACGGCAATGGTTGAGAATGGAAACGTCATGAGATGACATATAGGCTCTGGCTGATATCGTGCTTTGACACAAGGAGATGAAGAGCGTGGAGGAGGAGGAACACATCCTGGCCGCGTTCAAGCACTTCGACAAGGATGGCAGCGGGTGAGCTGAGATGACAGATAGGCCCTGGCTGATATCGTGCTTTGACACAAGGAGATGAACAGCGAGGAGGAGGAGGAGCACATTCTCGCTGCATTCAAGCACTTCGACAAGGACGGCAGCGGGTGAGAATAGAGACGACATGAGATGGCAGGGGGGTGAGGTGACATGCAACAGCATCTAGTCTCTGGCCGACAGCAGGAGGAGCACATTTTGGCCGCCTTCAAGCACTTCGACAAGGACGGCAGCGGGTGAGACGAGAGATGAGATGAGATGAGATGAGATGGCAAAGGGTGAGACGAGATGAGACAGCATATAGACCCTGGCTGATGTGGTGCTTTGACAACGAGATGAAGAGCGTCGAGAAGGAGGAGCACATCCTCGCTGCCTTCAAGCACTTCTCCAAGGATGGCAGCGGGTGAGACGAGATGAGACAGCGTATAGGCCCTGGCTGATATGGTGTTTTAACACAAGGAGATGAAGAGCGTGGAGGAGGAGGAACACATTCTGGCTACTTTCAAGCACTTCTCCAAGGATGGCAGCGGGTGAGCCAAGGACGGTAGCTGGTGAGATGAGTTGAGATCGCGGGGGGGTGGGTGGGATGAGAGACAGTAGCTGGGTACTGGCGAGATGAGATCACCGGGGGTGAGAGGAGACGAGACAGCATCTATCCTCAGGCCCCTACGACTATGAGACGCGATAGCATGGCGTTTGCTCTCTTGCTCACTCATTAAAGCACTCATGACAGCAACCCGCCTATCCACCCACCCCTTCCCACTCAATCCACCCTTGTCCACTCTTCCTGATTACCCCTCAGCTCCTTCCCTTCACTGCCGCCCTCTCTTAACCTCCTAACCCCCATTCCGCTCCCCTCTGCTCTTCCTCCTGACCTCTCACCCTGGTAGCACCATCACGGTGAGCGAGCTGCGGGAGGCGCTGGAGGATGAGGGAGGCTTATAAGTTGTAACCCTCGTTATGTCCTTGTTCTCCCCCCCTCTGCCTTTCAACCTTGACAGCACCATCACGGTGAGCGAGCTGCAGGAGGTGCTGGAGGATGAGGGCATGCTGGAGCCGGGGGATATCTCCTCATTCCCACCACTGCTCTGTCTCTTACCCTTCTATCCTCCCTTACTCTCCTACCCCCCTGGCAGCACCATCACGGTGAGCGAGCTGCGGGAGGCGCTGGAGGATGAGGGCATGCTGGAGCCGCATTCCCTTCCCTTCCCTTCCCACCACCGCCTTCGCTTACCCTCCTAACCCCCCCTTCCCTTCCCGCCTCCTCTTCCTCCTAACCTCCATCTCCTGCTGTTCACCCTCACAGCAACATCACGGTGAGCGAGCTGCGGGAGGCGCTGGAGGATGAGGGCATGCTGGAGCCAGGGGATATCGAGCAGATCATTGAACAAGTGGACACGGACCGGGTGAGTTGATGAGACGGGGATGGAATAGGGAGTAGGGCGGTACGTAGTGTTTCAAATGTGATGGCGTGATGTTGAGGGCATGCTGGAGCCGGGGGATATCGAGCAGATCATTGAGCAAGTGGACACGGACAAGGTGAGTCAAGAGGGGGGCATGAGCGGTATAGGGTGGTTGAAAGTGATGGTGTGTGGTTGAGGGCATGCTGGAGCCGGGGGATATCGAGCAGATCATTGAGAAAGTGGACACGGACCGGGTGAGTTGATGAGCGGTTGGGGAGAGATGGGATGGCATGTGGAGTGAGTGGCAGTGCAGAGTGAGCGAACGTGTGTTTTGAGGGCATGCGGTGATATGATGTGGTGATATGATGTGGTGATATGATGTGGTGATATGATGTGGTGATATGATGTGGTGATATGATGTGGTGATATCATGTGGTGATATCATGTGGTGATATCATGTGGTGATATCATGTGGTGATATCATGTGGTGATATCATGTGGTGATATCATGTGGTGATATCATGTGGTGATATCATGCAACCCATGTGATGGTAAGACTCAGATTAACGCTGTCATGATGATTGCAATGCACGCTAGACCACAAGCCCGAAAGCAAACCTCTTTTCTCTTATCTCCCACCTTCCAGCTGTGGTTACAGAAACAAATTACTGCTACCAGGAGTGTATCCCAAAATCGTAAAATATTAAAATCTCTTTTCCTGCCCCATCTACGGTACCTTCCCTGCGTGTGAAAACAGAGCGGCACGATCGACTACGAGGAGTTTGCAGCCATGATGCGGCAGCAACAGGGAGGAGCGGCCGAACAAGCCTTTTGAGGCCCCAAAATAATCGTATTAATCCCGGACCTGTTTCCCTGCCCCGTCCACCTTCCCCTCGTGTGGTAACAGGGTGGCACGATCGACTACGAGGAGTTAGCAGCCATGATGCGGCAGCAAGACCAGGAGGCAGCCGGCGCGGGGATGCCTCAAAAGCCACTAACACATTCTCAAGCACTTGCGTGTGTGTGTGCATGCTCCCCATTCTTTGCATTTCTGTGCTTCCCAGAGCGGCACGATCGACTACGAGGAGTTAGCAGCCATGATGCGGCAGCAACAGGGAGGAGCGGCCGGAAAAGCCTTTTGAGGCCCCGAAATAATCGTATTAATCCCGGACCTTTTTCCCTGTCCCGTCCACCTTCCCCTTGTGTGGTAACAGAGCGGCACGATTGACTACGAGGAGTTTGCAGCCATGATGCGGCAGCAACAGGGAGGAGCGGCGGCCGAGAAGCCCCGCCGCAAGCAAGGAATGTCCTCCGCCTACTACTGAAATACTGTTTATTGTCAGACAATTTCAGTGCACTCTTGCATGTAATTCTCTGGATAAGTTTTTCTAGCTAGTGATTGTTGCTCTACTGTGGTAGGTAGGGTTTTTCAAGTTGACTGCTGCCTTTCAGCTATAGCAGCCCCTCCTGACTCAAATGGGTGCAATTGTTCAGACAGGCATTTTATGGTTTTGCAGAATATACGGGAAACGGATATTGTGTATAAACCAGAGATACCCTAACAAGCGGTACCGTATGTCATTTCTAACATTTGTAACAGATATTGTGTATAAACCAAAGACACCTTAACGAGTGGTAGCTGCGCACTTGTTGAGCAGAAGATTCCAACTGTAACTCTAAACCACCAACTGCAACTTCCCCTCCCCAACCACCTCCTACACACCCCTGGGGTTTTCCCCTGGGTCCAAGTGATGGAGGGTGGAAAGTGGAGGGTGGAGGGGAGGGTCCAAGTGGTGGAGGATCAAGTGGTGGAGGGTGGTGGTGATGGGTCTAAGTGTGTCGCTGGGGTTTTCCCAGCTGCTTGTTGGTAACCGGTATGCAATACAGATTGCAGTTTGTTGCTGAAGACATTTGGGTACACTCACTCATGCTTGTCGCAATAGAGGTGGCATGGCATGGCTTGAGTGCATCTCAGCTTGAGTGCAGCTCAGCTTCAGTACAGAGCAGATTACAATCAGAGCAGATTACAATCAGAGCAGATTACAATCAGAGCAGATCACAATCAGAGCAGATTACAATCAGAGCAGATCACAATCAGAGCAGATTACAATCAGAGCAGATCACAATCAGAGCAGATCACAATCAGAGCAGATCACAATCAGAGCAGATCACAATCAGAGCAAATCACCGTCCGGAGCGGATCAGCATCAGTGCAGCTCCAGCTGTCCCTGCTCATTGTCCCCAAACCCTATGCAGGTGCCGTCACTGAAAGCCCCGAGGCAAGAGTCTTCTTCACTCATAGCGGAGAGCTGCACTGCAAATCTGAATTTCCAGATCCTGCAGAGCCGAGCCAGCATCAGTGCAGCTCCAGCTGTCCCTGCTCATTGTCCCCAAACCCTATGCAGCTGCCGTCACGGCACAAGGCAACGGTGTGGTACGCTCCCGTGCTGATCTGCATGACAGCATGAAGCACGTGGAAAAGCACACACACACGCAAACAAACAACTTCACGGTTAACCCTCAAGTTTTGAGTCGACTCAAAACTCGACTCACTACACATGAAGCACGTGGACAAGCACGCACACGAAGAAACAGCTTCATGGTTAACCCTCAGAATCGTCACGGCACGGCATAAGGCAATGCAATGCTGTGGTAGGCTCCTGTGCTCATCTGCTTGTCAGCACGCACACACACGGACGGTGACTTTTGAGTCGACGCAAACAAACAACTTCACAGTTAACCCTCAAAATCGTCACGGCACGGCATAAGGCAATGCTGTGGTAGGCTCTTGTGCTCATCTGACTTTTGAGTCGACTCAAAAGTCACCTCGTCACGGCATAAGGCAATGCTGTGGTAGGCTCCTGTGCTCATCTGCTTGTCAGCACGCACACACACGGACGGACAGATTTGCGAATCACATCCCTGCATCTCAACAGATTCAAGCAGCAAGGGAGATTGATTTGCAGCAACCAGCAGCAACCAACAGCAACCAGCATCAACCAGCATCAACCTGCATCAACCTGCATCAACCTGCATCAACCTGCATCAACCTGCATCAACTTGCATCAACCTGCATCAACCTGCATCAACCTGCATCAACCTGCATCAACCTGCATCAACCTGCATCAACCTGCATCAACCTGCATCAACCTGCATCAACCTGCATCAACCTGCATCAACCTGCATCAACCTGCATCAACCTGCATCAACCTGCATCAACCTGCATCAACCAGCATCAACCAGCATCAACCTGCATCAACCAGCATCAACCAGCATCAACCTGCATCAACCAGCATCAACCAGCATCAACCTGCATCAACCTGCATCAACCTGCATCAACCAGCATCAACCAGCATCAACCTGCATCAACCAGCATCAACCTGCATCAACCAGCATCAACCTGCATCAACCTGCATCAACCAGCATCAACCTGCATCAACCTGCATCAACCTGCATCAACCAGCATCAACCAGCATCAACCAGCATCAACCAGCATCAACCAGCATCAACCAGCATCAACCTGCATCAACCTGCATCAACCAGCATCAACCTGCATCAACCAGCATCAACCAGCATCAACCTGCATCAACCTGCATCAACCAGCATCAACCTGCATCAACCTGCATCAACCAGCATCAACCTGCATCAACCTGCATCAACCTGCATCAACCAGCATCAACCTGCATCAACCAGCATCAACCAGCATCAACCTGCATCAACCTGCATCAACCTGCATCAACCAGCATCAACCAGCATCAACCTGCATCAACCAGCATCAACCAGCATCAACCTGCATCAACCAGCATCAACCAGCATCAATCAGCATCAACCAGCATCAACCTGCATCAACCTGCATCAACCAGCATCAACCTGCATCAACCTGCATCAACCTGCATCAACCTGCATCAACCAGCATCAACCTGCATCAACCTGCATCAACCAGCATCAACCAGCATCAACCTGCATCAACCTGCATCAACCTGCATCAACCTGCATCAACCAGCATCAACCTGCATCAACCTGCATCAACCAGCATCAACCAGCATCAACCTGCATCAACCTGCATCAACCTGCATCAACCAGCATCAACCAGCATCAACCTGCATCAACCAGCATCAACCTGCATCAACCAGCATCAACCTGCATCAACCTGCATCAACCAGCATCAACCTGCATCAACCTGCATCAACCTGCATCAACCAGCATCAACCAGCATCAACCAGCATCAACCAGCATCAACCAGCATCAACCTGCATCAACCTGCATCAACCAGCATCAACCTGCATCAACCAGCATCAACCAGCATCAACCTGCATCAACCTGCATCAACCAGCATCAACCTGCATCAACCTGCATCAACCAGCATCAACCTGCATCAACCTGCATCAACCTGCATCAACCAGCATCAACCTGCATCAACCAGCATCAACCAGCATCAACCTGCATCAACCTGCATCAACCTGCATCAACCAGCATCAACCAGCATCAACCTGCATCAACCAGCATCAACCAGCATCAACCTGCATCAACCAGCATCAACCAGCATCAATCAGCATCAACCAGCATCAACCTGCATCAACCTGCATCAACCAGCATCAACCTGCATCAACCTGCATCAACCTGCATCAACCTGCATCAACCAGCATCAACCTGCATCAACCTGCATCAACCAGCATCAACCAGCATCAACCTGCATCAACCTGCATCAACCTGCATCAACCAGCATCAACCTGCATCAACCAGCATCAACCAGCATCAACCTGCATCAACCTGCATCAACCTGCATCAACCAGCATCAACCAGCATCAACCTGCATCAACCAGCATCAACCAGCATCAACCTGCATCAACCAGCATCAACCAGCATCAATCAGCATCAACCAGCATCAACCTGCATCAACCTGCATCAACCAGCATCAACCTGCATCAACCTGCATCAACCTGCATCAACCTGCATCAACCAGCATCAACCTGCATCAACCTGCATCAACCAGCATCAACCAGCATCAACCTGCATCAACCTGCATCAACCTGCATCAACCTGCATCAACCAGCATCAACCTGCATCAACCTGCATCAACCAGCATCAACCAGCATCAACCTGCATCAACCTGCATCAACCTGCATCAACCAGCATCAACCAGCATCAACCTGCATCAACCAGCATCAACCTGCATCAACCAGCATCAACCTGCATCAACCTGCATCAACCAGCATCAACCTGCATCAACCTGCATCAACCAGCATCAACCAGCATCAACCAGCATCAACCAGCATCAACCAGCATCAACCAGCATCAACCTGCATCAACCTGCATCAACCAGCATCAACCTGCATCAACCAGCATCAACCAGCATCAACCTGCATCAACCTGCATCAACCAGCATCAACCTGCATCAACCTGCATCAACCAGCATCAACCTGCATCAACCTGCATCAACCTGCATCAACCAGCATCAACCTGCATCAACCAGCATCAACCAGCATCAACCTGCATCAACCTGCATCAACCTGCATCAACCAGCATCAACCAGCATCAACCTGCATCAACCAGCATCAACCAGCATCAACCTGCATCAACCAGCATCAACCAGCATCAATCAGCATCAACCAGCATCAACCTGCATCAACCTGCATCAACCAGCATCAACCTGCATCAACCTGCATCAACCTGCATCAACCTGCATCAACCAGCATCAACCTGCATCAACCTGCATCAACCAGCATCAACCAGCATCAACCTGCATCAACCTGCATCAACCTGCATCAACCTGCATCAACCAGCATCAACCTGCATCAACCTGCATCAACCAGCATCAACCTGCATCAACCTGCATCAACCTGCATCAACCTGCATCAACCAGCATCAACCTGCATCAACCTGCATCAACCAGCATCAACCTGCATCAACCTGCATCAACCTGCATCAACCAGCATCAACCAGCATCAACCTGCATCAACCTGCATCAACCAGCATCAACCAGCATCAACCTGCATCAACCAGCATCAACCTGCATCAACCAGCATCAACCAGCATCAACCTGCATCAACCTGCATCAACCTGCATCAACCAGCATCAACCAGCATCAACCTGCACCACTCGCGTCCCCTCCAGAGCCTCCACTGGCTCGCCTTGTACTGGGAGCAAGCACCTTGTATCGCCCTGCTGCCACCCCTTAGCTGAAAACACCCTCCTGCCTTTCACCCTCACCTGCACCACTCGCGTCCCCTCCGGAGCCTCCACTGGCATGGGAGCAAGCACCTTGTATCGCCCTGCTGCCACGCCTCCGCCCATCCGCCCATCTGCTCCAACCAGCCCCCTTGCTCACCTGCACCACTTGCTTCCCATCCATGCCTGTGAGGCACTTCCAAAGAGTTATCCACCTATCAGACCATCCTACCAAACCAGCCCCCTTGCTCACCTGCACCACTCGCTTCCCCTCCAGAGCCTCAACTGGCACGGGAGCGAACACCTTGTCTCTCCCTGCCGCCACACCCAAGCTGAACTGACACCAGAGCTACCTCAACACATCACCCTCTTGCCTTTCCCCCTCACCTGCACCACTCGCTTTCCCTCCAAAGCCTCGACTGGCATGGGGGCAAACACCTTGTCTCTCCCTGCTGCCACACCCAGCCCTCCAAATGCCGTCCACCCAAACCCCAGCACCCGGCCTTGGTCGTCCAGAGCTAGTGTCTTGCGCTTGCCCAGCGTCACCTGGTTTGAAGTGGTGGGAGCATGTGAACAAGCGTGATAATAAGTTCATGATGCTGCAGGGTGTTTTTGAGAATTCAAAAAAACGCCCTATATGTATATGTAGAGTCACTGCGCCGTCCACCCAAACGCCATCACCCGCCCTTGGTCGTCCAGAGCTAGTGTCTTGCGCTTGCCCAGAGTCACCTGGTTGAAAGGAGTGAGAATATGTGAACGTTTTTGTGGTAATGCCTAAAGTCACATATAATTATGATGACAGTCGCTTTGGAGTTGATGCAAACGCCACATGTGGATCACACGCAGATCAGCCAATCATACCTGCACTATCCTTTTGGGTCGCCTCAAAAGCCAATCATACCTGCACTATCCGCGTGTGCAGCAGCCCCTCCACGACACGTGGCAGCACCTCATTGGCCTCGCTGCCGTTGCCCAAGCACCCACAGTAGCCCGACCCCCACATGTGCACCTGCCCACACACAGAGAGAGCGCGACAGGCCATAGGACGCACAAGGGAAGACAGCAGTAGACGGGCTTTAGTTTAGCACCTATAAGACGGCCTGAATGACCCAGATTCGTTAGATGAAATGACTTCTCGGCAATAAAACGGGAGTACGAGCAGCGGAGAAGGCCTCTTCACTCATTCGTGCACTCACCCTTCCCAGGCAGTCAAGAGCAGTGGAGGATACCTGTTTACACCACTTCACACCTCCTAACACCTGTTCACACCTCATGCGTGCACTCACCCTCCCCAGGCAGTCGAGAGCAGCGGAGTAGTCAACCGAAGCCGCCACCTTCATCACACGCACGCCCGACTGCACCAGCCACGCTATAGGGTGCGGCACCAGGCAGTCTGACAGGTCGGCTGTAGCAGCCGCCACCGCTGCAGCTGTAGCAGCCGCCACCGCTGCAGCTGTAGCAGCACCAGCACGTGCGGATGCAGCGGTGCCAACAGCAGCAGCACCACCCCCTGCACGTCTGCCCACATGCACTCTAGAAACACCCCCCGCTCGGCCCTGCACTCGCCCCACCCGTTCTCTGCCTCCCATCATCCCTTCCCCCCTCTCATCCCCCCACTCCTGCGCGGCCCCTGCCCACGTGCCCCAGCCCTGTGCGCCCCCCAACTGTCCGCTGTGCCCTCTGCCAAACGCCAGCACCACGCCAGCAGCAGTCACGGCCAGGGAGTGACTCGCGCCCGCTGCTACACTCACTATGCGATACTGTCCATACGGGTCGCTGCTGCTGCTGCCGGCGCCCGTTTCGTTGTTGTTGCCGCCTGTATCGCCACTGCTGCCGCCCGTCAATCCGCCCAGCATGGCAGCCAGCACCTCCGGGCGCAGCCCCTCCACGACCGTCGGCCGGCATCTGTCGTCCGTATCTCCCAGACCCAGCCGGCCGTTGCCGCCCGCTCCAAACGCATACACAGTCCCATCTCTAGAAAGCACTAGAACATGGCTTCTCCCTGTCGCGACCTGCTGACATGGCACGCCTCTTAAAGCCTCCACTAATTTCGGCTGGGGAAATTTCTTACCCACCCCCTCCTGCCCATGCCCACAGCACCCGTTAGTGTCCTGTCCCATAGTGTAAACGTTCCCGGACTTCGTCAGTATCACAGTGAAGGCTCTTCCCCCCGCAACTTGAGCCACTCTCTCCCGCATGCCGCCCTCTGCTTCCTCCCTGCTCACCCCATTCCCCTCATCCCCCCCGCTTCCCCCGTTCCACCCATTCCCCTCCGCGTCCGCGCTTCCCCCCACCACGATTTGCGCTCTCAGAGCTCCCCTCCGGCCCCGCACCCCTCCCCGCCGCGGCTGCACCTGCTGCTGCGCCTGAGCGTCGGGCCTTTCCGAGCCTGATTGTGCGGCAGTGCCGGCTTGCCCGGCTCCTAGTCGGACAGCGGCCAGGCCGGCAGCAAGGGCGGCAGCCGCCCACCCTTGGCCTGCCGGCTGGTTCTCGTCTCTCGCCTGGGCAGGTTCATCCGGGGGAGGTTGATCCGCAGCAGCTACTGGGGCGGGCTGATCTGGGGGAGGTTGATTTGACGCTGGCGGAAGGGTGAACTGGGGAGAACCGTCGCGCGAGCCTGAACCGTACACCCACAGCTCGCCGTTTGTCTTTTTCTGGAATGAACAGTAATCGCCCGCATAAACCGCTGACGCCAGCCCGCCGGAGTTCCGCGCGCCGGCTTCCTCCCGCAGCGCCTCTTCCTCCGCTTCCCGCCGCAACCCCCAGGCGTCCTCCACCGCCCATGCGAAGCGCAGGACGCGCAGCCAGCTTCCGCCGCACCGCTGCGCCGCCATTCCGCGCAGGAGGTCCGCGGGCACGCGCGAAAGTAGCGGGTGGCGCAGGCATCGCGCGCGCGCTGCGGTCTCGACGACGGAGTGGCGACGGTTCGGGGGGAGCAGGAGCGGGCGGCGGAGGGCGTAGCAAACCGCCTCGAGCCGCGCGAGGTCTTCCGGGGAAAGCTCGCGGTTTGGGTTGTAGGATGGACGGGAAAGCAGGTGTAGGAGCACGTCCTCTGATAGGTCGGCGAAGTTTGTTGGCGAAGGCGTCGCAGGTGATGATGGTACGAGTGTCGTGGCCATTGCCAGAAACGACCTTGGAGTAATCGTTACTTCGAGTCCGTTCCTGGCTAGGATTCTAGAGCCGAGCTTGAAACCACAAGCCGTTTTTTTTTCAGCAATTTATGGAGCTAGCGAGGGTGTTGGGGGCCGTGTAGTTAGCTACTCGCTACAGGCCGAAATAGATCAGCTGCGGTCTTGAAATCTACTTGGTGTGGAGTATGCCTCGTCTGTGAAGACCTGCTTTTTATTCCGTAATGCTGCAACGCGAGATGGTGTGGGGGTGACGTGACTTTGCTGCTGCTGGTTTCAATATTATTAGGGTTTTGTGCGTTTCGATACGGTTTCACGTGTTATATATCGCTGTTACGGTGAGTCTTCTCTCAACGGCTTTTTCCTTCGGTGGCAGGTGAGGTGAGGTAAGGTGAGGGAGTGAAAAGCTTGGTTGTGAGCTACGAAATTGCGGGTTGGCGCGAATCGCAGGGTTAGCAACATTAGCAGAAAGCGAAAGCGTGAGGAAGCTGATACGGGTGAACACAAGCCCTCCGAATTTTTATGAACGGCTAGGATGCGTAAAGGATGTCTGTCAAAAAGGGAAAGTTACGAAATGTGCAGTGGGATCAGCCAAGCCAATCAACGGCGAGAACCAGCGCGATGTCCATGCACGGCTCGGTTCGTTTGACGTGGTGGGAAAGTCGAAGAATTGGTTGGGAGACTGGAATGGTAAATTTCGGGTCTGTGCTGTCAGCAGACCAATCAGAGCATGCTCAGACACAGTAACGAGAGTTTGATCTATGACGCTATAACACCAAGGACACCGTAAGAAACTTGCTCCAATAACAGATTTACGAATATATATCTGCACAGAAACTACACTCAGATAAATCTTGTACCTCACATTGCCAGCAACTCGTATTTCGCGGCTGATCTTGAGCAAGGACGACTTTCTTCAGTATTCCAATCCAACCCATATCCACAACAGCATACTACGAACATCTTCTCATTTGAACCGACCTACGGAAGCACCTAGAACCATGGCAGATAGTTGGGGGGGAAACCCTCGCGGCGGAGGCCGCGGGAGAGGCGGAAGAGGTGGAAGTGGCGGAAGAGGCGGAAGTGGCGGGCGAGGCGGACGAGGCGGGCGAGGGTTTAGCGGATCATTTGAAGTTTCAAGGGACTCGCAAGGTTCAGGGTATAAGGGAGGTTGGGGAGGTTCGGGTTCGGGAGGCGGGGCTGGGCGGGGATTGGATGGAGGGGGGGGAAGACGAGGGGGAGGCTGGGGAGGCGGGCGCGGAAGAGGAGACGAGAGGGGGGGAAGAGGCGGAGGAAGGGGGAATTGGGGAAGACAGCAGGGCGCAGCTGGCGGAGCGATTGGGCGCGGCGGGAGCGCCAGCCCGGGCGATTCGAGAAAGCGCAAGTTCGAAGGCGCAGGCGGAGGTTCCGGCGAGGGCGGAAGGGGAGGCGCGGGGGGGCGGGGGTGGGGGAGAGGAGGCGGGCGCGGGAGGGACGGGGGACGGGGCGGGGGGCGGGGCGGCGGACAGGGGCGAGGGGGAGGAAGGGGGGAGAGCGCTCCTAGCGGACCGATGGATAGGAAGCAGAGGAAGGTGCGTGCAGGGGCATTCAAGGCATTTGACTTGAACCGTGTGTTCGTTGAGTCGGCTTCGAAGCACAGTCCTTCCCTTAAACCCCGTCCCGCGTAAAAACCTTCCCCTCCCGTAGCCCTCTCCTACCCGCTGAACGCTCTTGCGCCTGCTCCTTTCATCCCTCTCGCACCTCCTCCCCTCGTATCACTCTCACGCTCCCCCTCGCCCGTCCTCTCTTGACTCTCATTTTCTCCTCCTCTGCTCCCCCCTCCTCCCGCTCTCTCCGTCCTTCCCCCACTCACTACTCCTCCCTCCCCCTCTCCCCTTCCTTCCGCCTCTCACCCCTCCTCCCCACTTCGCCCTCCTTCCCTTCTTCCCTCCGCGCAGGAGTTAGCGGAGGCGCGGAAGAAGCGCCGCCGTCCGCTCTTTGATCTCGAGAAGGTGGGCGCAGAAAGGGTTTAGCGCGCCAGGGTTTAGATCCGCCTACAAACCCTAAACCGTGGATTTGGAAAAGGCGCGTTCAGACAGATAGGGTTTTAGCATGTGCCAAATGTAGGGAGAGGCGGGCTTGGAGCAAACGGGCTGGGTGCATCAGCACAGCGCAGGTGTGATGAGGTTGGTTTTATGGGTGGACGTGAGAGGCTCCGGGAGGGAACATTTCAGGAAGGGGCGATAGGGGACTATGTCTGTACAAGCCACGCCATGCCATGCCCTGCCACGTCCTGCCACACGCCATGCCACACGATGCCATGCCGTGAAAGGCCATAGCCTGAACTTGCCCTCCCATGTGTGTGTGTGTGTATGTGGTCCGATTTGGTTTGTGCTGGATATTTCTATGTGTGCATGTGTTGATTAAATGCGTGGTTGAACATCTGTACATGTTTGTGACTGTATACATGTGTGACTGTACATGTTTGTGACTGTATGCATGTGTGACTGTACATGTTTGTGTGACTGTATATCTGTCTGACTGCACCAGGAGTTGACGCTGCTGTGGGAGAAGAGTCGGCAGAGGAACATCGAGATGGAGAAGAAGCGCAAGTGAGTGCTCTCCTAACCAGGCTCCTTCCACTCACCCGACCCATGAAGTAAGGCCTCCGCAGCCCACCTGCCCACCATTGACAAGGTCGGCAGAGGAACATCGAGATGGAGAAGAAGCGCAAGTGAGTGCTGCGTGCGTGCGTGAGAGTTCTGACTACGTGTGTGTTGCTGAAACCTGCACCAACCGCCTCCCCTCTAGTAATCATAGGGTATCCTTGATTAGGCTGCCATTCGGATACGCTTTACTGTGCTGCACCAACTGCCCCCCCTCTGGTCTCACGCGTCATCCTCTCGTATTCGCCCTCCCTTCGCTGCCCAGGCTAGTGACTGCGATGACCGGCAAGATGAAGGGGAAGATGGTGGAGATGGCACGGTCACACACCGTGTCACGCGTGCTGCTCTGCTCATTCCATGTTCCCTCGTCTCCCCCCTCTTCGTCTCACCTTGCACTCATCTCTCTCCCCTCACTGCTCAGGCTGGTGACAATGATGACCGGCAAGATGGTGGAGATGGCGCTCTCACACACCGTGTCACGCGTGCCGCTCTCACTCTTGACCTCCTCTCCCCTCACTGCCCAGGCTGGTAACAATGATGACTGCGAAGATGAAGGGGAAGATGGTGGAGATGGCGCGCTCACACACCGTGTCACGCGTGCTGCAGATGTGCGTCAAGCACGGCCGCAAGGAGGAGCGGGAGGCAGTCTTCTCGGAACTACGCCCGCACTGCCGCGAGCTGGCGGTGCATCCCTACGCCCACCACCTGGTCAACAGAATGATGGATCACGGTGAGTGGGGGGGTGGTGATCTTCCTTCCTACATGTGTGTCAAGCACGGTTGCAAGGAGGAGAGGGAGGCCGTCTTGTCTGAGCTCCGCCTGCACTGCCGTGAGCTGACCGTGCACCCCTACGCTCACCACCTGGTCAAAGGGAAAATGGACCATGGTGGGTTTCTCTGTGAGTATGATATCGTGGGCCAGCTGGAGGAGTTTAGATGACTTGTGACAACGCTCTAAAGTGATGCCACCCTCTCCCCTCTCTCCGTCCCCTTTTCATCCCTGCATGGGCGCAGCGAGCACGGAGAAGAAGCATGACATCGTGGGGCAGCTGAGGGGTCATGTGGTCGAGATGATGCGCCACCCTGTTGCCAGTGCTGGTATGTGCGGGCGAGAGGTGGGGGAAACGATTATGCTATGTGTGCCAGTGAGTGGTGTACAGCAAGGGCCTCAGTTGTTGCCAGTTTTTGAGTCGACTCAAAAATTGGTGTACAGCAAAGGCCTCAGCTGTTGCCAGCGCTACAGTGGGCAGGTGAGGGGCCATGTGGTAGCTAGCGATGATAATGTCCCCCCTTCATCCTTGTTGGAATTCCTAGTTCCACGGTCCACCTCTTCCCCTCACTCGCCCTCCTGTCTAACTTTCCACTTCCCCCTACCCCCCATCCCTCTCCTTACCCCCCTCCCCCCCGCCTTCACCCACCAGTGATAGAGCACGCCTACCAGCTCTCCCCGACCCCCCAGCGCTCCGCTCTGGCATCCGAGTTCTTTGCGCCAGACTTCCGCCTCTTCCCCTCACTCGCCCTGCCTGGCGCCGGCCGGCTCTCCGACCTGCTGGCTAGCTCACCTCCCCATCCCACCCCCTTGCAGCTCCCATCTCGTCTCTTCCTCACACCCGCCCTTGCCCCTCTCCGTCGGTCCTCCCTCTCTCCCTCCCACTCCCACCCCCCACCAGTGATAGAGCACGCCTACCAGCTATCAGCGCCCCCCCAGCGCTCCGCTTTAGCATCCGAGTTCTTTGCGCCAGACTTCCGCCTCTTCCCCTCGCTCGTCCTGCCTGGCGCCGGCCGGCTCTCCGACCTGCTGGCGAACCTCCCCTCGGGCACCAGCAGGCAGTCCGTGCTGCAGCACCTGGAAACTTCCCTGCAGCCGATTCTGGAGAAGGGGATTGTGGACCACTCGCTGTTTCACCGGGTCCTGGCGGATTATCTTGGGGTGATCTCTAAGGTACGTACGACGGTGGCCTTGACAGGTGGACGCGTGTGTGTATGTGGTAGGGTGACCCCTGAGTGAGGAAAGCCTTTTCCCCTCGCTCGCCCTGCCGGGTGCCGGCCGTCTGAGCGACCTGCTGGCCAACCTCCCCTCGGGCACCTCCCGACAGTCCGTGCTGCAGCACCTGGAAACTTCCCTGCAGCCCATCTTAGAGAAAGGCATAGTGGACCACTCGCTGTTCCACAGGGTGTTGGCGTACTACCTGGGCGTTATTTCCAAGGTATGGTTGGTCTGTGGGTGGGGGGCACCAGTAAGCAGTCCGTGCTGCAGCACCTGGAGGCTTCCCTGCAGCCCATCCTGGAAAAGGGCATGGTGGACCACTCACTGTTCCACCGCGTGTTGGCGGACTATCTGGGAGTCATCTCTAAGGTATGGTGGGTCTGTGGGGTGGGGTGGGGGGCACCAGTAGGCAGGCAGTCCGTGCTGCAGCACCTGGAAGCTTCCTTGCAGCCGATACTGGAGAAGGGCATAGTGGATCACTCCCTCTTCCACCGCGTGTTAGCAGACTACCTGGGCGTTATTTCCAAGGTATGTATGACGGCCCTTGACATGGATGCTTGTGATTGTAGGGGTTGGAGGTGTGTGGTTAGGTAAAGCCTGACGTAGGTAAGCCCTCGTGGGCTTACGAGGTGACGTATGGTGTAGGTAAGCAAGCGAAGTAAAGCCTGACGTAGGTAAGCCCTCGTGGGCTCAGCCATCTGGGCGACATCCCCACAGGCAGCACTGCGTGAAGCCAACCTCTTTCCCTTCCCCTTCGGTCTCTCCCCGTCTCTCCCAATGTGTGGTTTGGAGGGCAGCGGGAGGTAGCAGAGGTGAGGCAGCAGCTGATGGGAGCGCTGCTGCTGCGCATGGTGCACACGCGGGATGGGGTCAGGATCGCCAATACCATGGTGGCGCAAGCAACTCCCAAGGTGGGCCAGCACAACCTGTGCTAGTAAATATTTGTTTCACTACTGCAACGTGCGCAAAATCTCACAAACTTGTTCTTTCACCAAGCAACCAACTGATGCAGATTATCCACCACTTCACATCTGTTCCCTGGAATGTGGCATGGCATGGCATGGCATGGCACTGTGGCACCATGGCATGGCACCATGGCACCGTGGCATGGCATGGCATGGCACTGTGGCACCATGGCATGGCATGGCATGGCATGGCATGGCATGGCATGGCATGGCATGGCACCATGGCACCGTGGCATGGCATGGCATGGCATGGCATGGCACTGTGGCACCATGGCATGGCACCATGGCATGGCATGGCATGGCACCATGGCACCGTGGCATGGCCGGGCCTGCATGTCATGTGGCGTGGCCTGGCGTTTATGGCCTGACTTTTCTGGCCTCATGTGGCATGGGATGCGATGTCCTTTTTTGCATGGCATGGCATGGCATGGCATGGCATGGCATGGCATGGCATGGCATGGCGTGGCATGGCGTGGCATGTCGTTGCATGTGGCAGGAGGTGCGGAAAGTGGTGAAGGCATTGAAGGGGGTGGTGGCGCGGGTGGCATGTGACGACCACGGCCACCTGCTGCTGCTGCAGCTGCTCGAATCCGCCTCATCAGGCCCTCTCAACCGGGTGTGTATGCATGCACTGACCATTGAACTGGGTTACTGTCTACACCCTTTGAATAATATTCACGATGTGGCGCGGGTGGCATGTGACGACCACGGCCACCTGCTGCTGCTGCAGCTGCTCGAATCCGCATCCTCTGCCCCCCTCAACCAAGTATGCTTGCGCTGACCCTCCTTTGAACACTGGCACGTGTGGCACAATGTCGCATGTGTGACGACCACGACCACCTGCTGCTGCTGCAGCTGCTCGGTTCCGCCTCATCAGGCCCTCTCAACCGGGTATGTATGCATGCACTGACATAGGTTACTCGGAAGACGACTTTGAGGATCCCGTGAAGGACTCACAGGGACTAATTTGTTGTTGCCATCACGGAAGGCGGCTTAAGGTGTCGGCCATTGAATGCCGCCCTCCACTGTGTTTGAGGTTGATTTTGAGAATTCTCAAAATCAACCTCAAGCTTAAGGTGTCGGCCATCGAATGCCGCCCTCCACCCCCCCTGCTTCCCTGTCTGTCCCCGTGTACTGATTCTGTGTTCAATCCAGTTTGTAATCAAAGAGCTTTTAAGGTACCTGTTCGAGGTGATGGAGGAGCGCATGAGTAACCCCCCTCCTCCCCCACTCCTCCCCACCAGCCATAGAAGCTTGTTTAGGCGAGCTGCAGTCTAGAAGAAATCTTCAGCAAATGATTGACAGTAGTAAAATGTTACCCTGTTATAAACAGAGGACCTGTTCGAGGCGATGCAGGAGCGCATGAATAACCCCCCTCCTCCCCCACTCCTCCCCCACTCCCCCCCCCCCCCCCCCCCCCCCCGCCTCAACTCTCTCCCCTCTCTCCGTTCGTAATCAAGGAGCTCTTGAAGGAACTGTTCGAGGTGATGCAGTGCAGGAGATAATCCTCCTCCTCCCCCCTCCTCACTTTCGTGTGCCTTGCGGCTTCCCCGCTCCCCCCTCACAGTTCGTGATCAAAGAGCTGTTGAAGGACCTGTTCCAGGTCATGCAGGAGCGCATTGGCCGCCGGTTTCCTCCCCTCACACCTTCCCCCTCTCTCCCCCTCCCGTCTCCTCTTTTCCCCCTTCTCAGTTCGTGATCAAAGAGCTGTTGAAGGACCTGTTCGAGGTCATGCAGGAGCGCATTGGCCACTTCATGCCATCAGTCTTGCTGTTCTGTTCTCCCTCGTCCTCACCTCCCTTCAGTTCGTGATCAAGGAGCTCTTAAAGGACCTGTTTGAGGTCATGCAGGAGCGGATCGGTCGCAGGTTTTTGCTGCAGATGCTGGCTCCCTCCTCCCACCGCTACCTGCCGCCCGATGCTGTCCAGGCCATTGTGCTGGGCGGCAGAGTGGAGGAGGAGGTGGAGAAGACGGAGGAGGAGGATGGGGAGGAGGGGGAGGAGGAGGAAGGTGAGGAGGGAGAGGAAGGGGAGGAAGAGAATGGGAAGGGGCAGGAAGGGATGATGGTGGAAGGGGAGGATGGAGAGGAGGAGGGAGAGGAGGGGGATGAGGAGGAAGGTGAGGGAGTTGAGATGGGAGAGGAAGATGATGAGGAGGAAGGAGAGGAGGAGGAGGGAGAGGGTGAAGAGGGGGAGGATGAGGGATATGAGGGAGAAGAAGGGGAGGAAGGGGAGGAAGGAGAGGAAGGAGAGGAAGGAGAGGAGGGGGAGGAAGGAGAGGAGGGAGAGGAAGGAGAGAAAACGATGAAGCCTGGCAAGAAGAAGGGGAGGCTGGATGGCAAGAAGAGAAAGGAGGCAGCAGCAGCAGCAGCAGCTGCTGCAGCAATGGATGATAGTGATGATGACGAGGAGGAGGAGGATGAAGGGGAGGAGGGGGGCGAGGGGGAGGGAGGGCAGGGGTCTCGATCCCTTGTGAAGAGAAGGAAGCTTCTGGTGGATTCAGGATTGGCAGAGGTGAGCAGGGATTAAGGAGTGCTTGGATGGGGTGGGATGGGATTGGATGGTCTTGGCAGGGTTTAGATGGGATGAGAAGTTCCGATACTCAGCTGCAATGCTTGGTGTTGCCCTTCGCCCTGCGCATCCTTGCCCTGTGCATCCTTGCCCTGTGCATCCTTGCCCTGCGCATCCTTGCCCTGCGCATCCTTGCCCTGTATCTCTATAAGGAAATGCTCGAGCCAACAGCGGAGCATGCAGGGTCCATAGTAGCTCTGGAGACGTCCATAATATACGTATGTGTTGCGTTGTGCTGCCTGCTGTGTGCACTGCTCTGGACCCTCAATCTAACAGGAGATGCTCAAGCTGGCAACGGAGCATGCAGGAGCGATGCTGACCTCTCAGTTCGCCTGCGATGTCATCTATGAGGTACTGAGCAACTGTTGAGGCGCCTCAAAAGACTTTTGAGGTGCCTCAAAAGTCGCAACAGAGCATGCAGGAGCGATGCTGACCTCTCAGTTTGCCTGCGATGTCATCTATGAGGTACTGTGCGCTACATGATAATTACGTGGTTTTGAGACGTCTCAAAAGACACATTATTATCACGTGGCTATCTGCTGACTTCTCAGTTCGCCTGCGATGTCATCTATGAGGTACTGTGCGCTACATGATAATCACGTGGTTTTGAGACGTCTCAAAAGACACATTATTATCACGTGGCTATCTGCTGACTTCTCAGTTCGCCTGCGATGTCATCTATGAGGTACTGTGTGCTGTTACAGCTGCACCTGTGGCACGTGTGCTGTGTGCGTTTCATCTGTGAGCTACATGACGCGCGTTCGTACAATCTCATATGGCCTCTGTTTTCTCACTCCTCTCCTTGTCCCACCCCCTTCCCTCTCCAGCTTGCCCGAGGAGGGGACTCTTCTCTGCTCGCCCTTCACCACCCCTCGCTCCTCTCCCCCCTGCATTCAGCCATCGCTGCTGCTGCCGCTGCTCCCCGTCCCCTTACTAATACTGCTCTCTCCTTCGTGTTTCTTCCCCACACATCCCACCCCCTTCCCTCTCCAGCTTGCCCGAGGAGGGGATTCTTCTCTGCTCGCCTTCCACCACCCCTCACTCCTCTCCGCCCTGCATTCAGCCATTGCCGCTGCTGCCTCTCCTCCCCGCCCTGCTGCTGCTGCGGGCCCTGCCAAGAGTGAGAAAGCTAAGAAGGGGAAAAAGGGGAAGGGGAAGAGCAAGGAGGGACAGGGCGAGGAGAAGGAGAAGGCGGAGGAGGAAGGGGAGGAGGGGGAGAAGGCAGAGGGGGAGGTGGAGGAGCAGCAGAGCCATGTGTTGGAGGACTTTTTTGGGAGTAGAGTGCTCAGGCGGCTGGTGGCGGATGAAGAGAGACTTGCAGCTGCAGCTGCTGCGGCTGCGGCTGCAGCAGCAGAGGGTGCGGTGGAAGGAGCAGCAGAAACGGCAAAGACAGATGAAGATGGAGAAGAAGGGGAAGTGGAGCCTTTCTGTGCTGTGCTGTGGCGAGAGGCACTGCAAGGGCGGTGCAGGGAGTGGGGCACGAGGCACAGGTGAGATGGGAGAGGACACATATTTGGGGCCATCAAAGGGTTTATGGCAAGCAACTCGTATTTTTTCCCTCATCTCTTCCCTCGCCCTCTCCCTGCTTTCCTTCCCACATTCACCCTCCTTTTCTCTCCCTCTATTGTTTTTTTCCGTCCCTCGTTTCCTTTCTTCGTTCCTCTTTTCCCTTTCCCCTTCCTCTTTTCCCTTTCCCCTTCCTCTTTTCCTTTTTTTTCTTTCCTCTTCTCCCCCTCCTCTCTGTGTGCAGTGCCAAGGTGGTGGCAGCACTGGCCCATGCCCCGCACAAGCCAACAAAAGACGCTGCCCTGGCAGAAATGGCAACTTTCTTTGATGAGCCCGAGTTTGCAGCACTGAAACGGTTGGTGGAGAGTCCACCCTCCCACCACCACCACTAGCAGCAGCAGCACTAGGACCACCAGCAATGTTGGCGAACAGATGATTTGACTTGGATATTCTGCAATCTGGTTACTGGTAACCCATATGGCCTTGCCAACAACAGGACAAGCTAGTTTTCTTCCTTGATGTGGCCTATGAATTTCAGTTTACGTATACCATTCTGCAATTCATGTGACAGCACAGCACCAGATTCATATACGGTACGATACCGTATGACCACAAAAGCGAAGGTCAATGCACTCTTTGAGACAGGCAAGGCTAGGCTGGCTAACTAACTACACTCGGCTGGAAGCACTTGCATAGGCCACTAGGCAGATACCGGTATTTGATACATCACACACACATACAACAGACGTAGGAAGAAAGCAGGGAATCTGCAACAGCAACAGCAGCGACGGAACTAGCAGCAGTGGCAGCAGTCAACTCTAGCCAAGAGATACTGATTGCATTGCATCGCAGCAACTGATCCATTCTTACAGCAGCAGCAAAGCAACCACGCAGCAGCACATGTCGCCAATACGACCAGCAGGACAAGGCAGGCAGGACCATGCTTGGATTGCACCTCCCTAATTCCGGGCCCGACTAACCGCGACACTTAGCATTAACAGTGCAACACCCAGTGTGGAAACACTTAGGCGCAGCACTTAGTATCGCAGCCAGAAGGTGCGGCGGCGCAGCCAGTTGTAATCCGGGAGGAACTGCGTCGGGCCAATCGCTGCCACCGCCACGTCCTGTTGCGGGTGAGATGTGCAAGAAGGAAAAGAAGGGTATGGGAAGCAGTGGGAAGCGAGACTAGGTAGGCCGGTGAATGCAGCCAGTTGTAGTCTGGGAGGAACTGTGTCGGGCCAATCGCTGCCACCGCCACGTCCTGTTGCGGGTGAGATGTGCAAGAAGGAAAAGAAGGGTATGGGAAGCAGTGGGAAGCGAGACTAGGTAGGCCGGTGAATGCAGCCAGTTGTAGTCTGGGAGGAACTGTGTCGGGCCAATCGCTGCCACCGCCACGTCCTGTTGCGGGTGAGATGTGCAAGAAGGAAAAGAAGGGTATGGGAAGCAGTGGGAAGCGAGACTAGGTAGGCCGGTGAATGCAGCCAGTTGTAGTCTGGGAGGAACTGCGTGGGGCCGATCGCTGCCACCGCCACATCCTGAGGAGGGGGTATAAATGGGGAAGGGGGAGCAGAAGAAGGGGGGAGGGGGGACACATGTGATGAAACTGGCCAATTGTAAGTCCGGGAGGAACTGCATAGGGCCGATAGCCGCCACCGTCACATTCTGTTGAGGGGGGGAAGGAGGAGGGTGGAGGGGGGTGTGTGGGGGAGAGAAGGGGAGGGGAGGGGCGAAGAGGCAGTGCATTAGGAACTGTGGCAGCCAGTTGCAGTCCGGGAGGAACTGCATAGGGCCGATAGCTGCCACCGTCACGTCCTGTTGCGCATCACACAAGGCAGTCAGTGAACCGCTCTGCAACGCGCTTCACCGTCTCAGCATCCACGGCATCGATGCGCGCACAACCCTCACCACAGCGGCACACCCACTCCCACCATCATCACCCATCATCGCCCATCATCACCCATCATCACCCCTCATCACCCATCATCACCCCTCATCACCCCTCACTACCCATCACACAGCCCACCCTGTCCAGCAGGAACCGCTCTGCAACGCGCTTCACCGTCTCAGCGTCCACTGCGTCAATGCGCGCAAACATCTCCGCCAGGGGGATGCGCCGCCCTATGCACACACCCTACTATCACCCATCGTTACCCCTCAAACCACTCACCCTGTCCATCAGGAACCGCTCTGCAACGCGCTTCACCGTGTCAGCATCCACGGCGTCAATGCGAGCGAACATCTCAGCCAGGGGGATGCGCCGCCCGTACGTGATCAGCTGCCGCCCAATGTCCTCCGCCACTGCACTCGACCCGTCCAGATGCAGAGCAAGGGACGCCTTCAGCTGTGGGGTGGGTAGGTATCGGTGGGGAGGGGTGTATATGTGTGACTGTGATCAGCTGCCGCCCAATGTCCTCCGCCACTGCACTCGAGCCGTCCAGATGCAGCGCCAGGGACGCCTTGAGCTGTGGGGTGGGTTGGGGTGGGAGGGGGAGGGGAAGGTGGGTGGGTATATGGAGCAGTTGAGAGAAGAGAGAGGAGGAAGGAAAGGAGAGAGGGTGGGTGGGAGGGGAGAGTGGAGAAAGCAACAGCAGTAGAGTTTCTGAACGGGATGGCATCACCGGATGGAGAAATACCTTTTGAGAACCCGCAAGAGTGGTAGTGTTTCTGAAGCGTGATAATGTCACTTTTTGAGAATTCTCAAAAGTAACATGAACGCGCAACGCAACAGGGGTAGTGTTTCAGAAGCGATAGGCATCGCCGGATGGGGCAGAGTGAGAAAAGAAAGCTCTTCAGGTTTGGCCAGGGAAATTGCGAGGTCATAACATAACATGCTACCCTAAACGGCTGGTAAACATGCTGACATCGTGCCAACAGAATGCTGACGTGGCACTCACAGCGTTGCCAGCGCGAGTGACGTCATCATCAGACACGCGGTAGACGAGGCGGGTGATCTCATGCATCATGGCCCACGCGAGGTCGTCCAGATGGTCGGGCTGGGGGCACATGCATGGCAACAGGCAGCACGGCGCATCAACATTGGGAGTTAGGGAATGAGACAGGATAGGGAGAAAGGGAACAGGACAGGGGAGGGTGGGCGCGTGAGACACAGCACGCGGTACACGAGGCGGGTGATCTCATACATCATGGCCCATGCGATGTCGTCCAAGCGTGGGAGAAAGTGAGAGTCAGAAGATGGGGACATGGGGTAGGCGAATGAGACACATGGCATATGCAAGTGACCCCATCTCATGCATCACGGCCCACGCGAGGTCGTCCAGATAGTTGAATTGTGCACATGCATGGGAACGCCATGAGAATGAGAAAGTGAGCATGAGGGAGCATGAATGAGGAAAGCATAAGTGGAACATAAGGGGACGTTTGCCCAGAGGAGATAATGCAGAGTGTTGGGGGAACCCCTCCTTGGATTGGTACACGCATAGGGGCCAAAAAGAATGATGTGAGTTGTAACGCGGTACATTGCGATCAGCACTGCACAACGTCCCACCTTGGCGCAGGCATAGACCCCAAAGAGCCCCGTGTCCGAGTAGTTGGTGTTGAACGCCATGAATCGCTCACACAGTAACAGCGCACAATGCCACAGGCACCTGCTCACACCCCAGCCCAGCCCAGCCCAGCCCAGCCAAAGGAACCCACCTTGGCGCAGGCATAGACGCCAAAGAGCCCCGTGTCCGAGTAGTTGGTGTATGCCATGACGCGCTCACACACGTTCACACAGTAACAGAGCCCACTGCTACAGGCACCTTTGAACACACCTACAGGAACCCACCTTCCAATCCCACCCAACCACAGCAAGCACCCACGGGGACCCACCTTGGCGCAGGCATAGACCCCAAAGAGCCCCGTGTCCGAGTAGTTGGTGTTGAACGCCATGAATCGCTCGCACAGGCCGTTGGCCGCTACCTTCTGCGCCAACTCGGATCTGATGTGCGAATGGGTATGAGGGAAAGGGGTAAGGATAGATGAGCATGGAAAGATACTAGATGAATGGACCGGACGCAGTTGGTGTTGAACGCCATGAAGCGCTCACACAGGCCGTTGGCCGCTACCTTCTGCGCCAACTCGGATCTGATGGGAGAGGGGGCAGAGGGGGAGCAGGGGCAGAGACACAGAGCGATAGACACAGTGAGACTGGAAAGCAAAGGAAGCGGATGGTGTTGAACGCCATAAAGCGCTCACACAGACTGTTGGCCGCTACCTTCTGTGCCAACTCGGAGCTGAGAGAATGGGGGGGAGAAGGGCAGGAGGAGAGAGTATGAGGATGAGGGGCAGGGAGAGATGAGCAGGGAGAGATGAGCAGGGAGAGATGAGCAGGGAGAGATGAGCAGGGAGAGATGAGCAGGGAGAGATGAGCAGGGAGAGGGGCTGGATGGATGGACGCGGTTGGTGTTGAACGCCATGTTTCGCTCACACAGGCTGTTGGCCGCTACCTTCTGTGCTGGAGAGTAAAGAGGGAGAGGGTACGAGCGAGAGACAAGCAAGGTGGAGGGGCAGGGATAGATGAGAAGGGAGGGAAGGGGGGGAGAAGATGGGGCTAGCGCATCACAGATATTCCTATCGATCACTCACCCACCCACCCCGCGGCTCCAGGACTCTAGCATGGTCTGCATGATCTGCTCTGCAGAGACACAGCATCCGGGTCGGTCCACCTGGGCTACTGTTACCATACCATCTGGATGCATGATTCTCACCCCAGAGCGTTTCCTCCACCAGCACCACGGCTCCACGATCCCAGCATGGTCTGTGCATGATCTGCAGCGCCATCACCTGTAGCAGCACCCTTGCCTGTAGCGCACCCTATCGCTCACTCACCCCAGCGCGTTACCCCCACCAGCCCCACGACCCCAGCATGGTCTGCATGACCTGCAGCGCCACGGCATGACCCTCCTCCCTCCTTTCAACGTTGCCCACCCATCACCCCTTATTACTGCTCACTCACCCCAGCGCATTCCCCCCGCCAGCACCACGGCTCCAGGACCCCAGCATGGTCTGCATGATCTGCAGCGCCACGGCATCGGGGTCCGTCCAGCTGGGTAACTGCTCGCCATACCATACCATACCATACCATACCATACCATACCATACCATACCATACCATACCATACCATACCATACCATACCATACCATACCATACCATACCATACCATACCATACCATACCATACCATACCATACCATACCACCTGGGCGCATGATTCTTACCCCGTCAATCTCAACTCACCCAAGTGCGTTCCCCCCGCCCGCACCACGGCTCCACGATCCCAGCATGGTCTGCATGATCTGCAGCGCCACGGCACCGCCCCTGACCATTGCTCATACCACCTAGATGTATGTATCTTACCCCAGAGCGTTCCCTCCGCCAGCCCCACGGCTC